AGATATTATTTTTTATTTTTATTATTTTTATTTTTAATTTTTTTCACTTTAGGATAAAGATGAAGTGGGTCGAATGAAGGAGGAAATGAATTTAAATGTATTGTTAGATGGTTGTCCAAGAGAATTGCATGATTTTGCGGCATACCTAAAAACACTTGGCTATCCGGATGAGCCCAGTTATGGATTATTAGAAAACAATCTACGTAGTATTATTGCTCGGTAAAAAATTTGGCATTATTTTATGTGTTTTTTTCCAGTTGTTGTTGTTGTTATTAAGATTTAAAAATAATTAAATAATTAGTTTTTTCATTTAGTTATATTATATATTTAAGGCATGGTATTAGTGCTGAAGAACCATATGATTGGGAAATTAATTATGAAAATCTTGGCCCAAAAGTTCGCTTAAATGGTTTGTTATTGTTACTTTCACATAAAATTCAACTCTAAAAAATTTGCATCCGCAGTTTCTTTTTTTTGTTTTTTATTTAAAAAGAAAAATATAGCAGTTTTGTTTTAAATATTTAATCATTCTATTTCATAAAATCATTTCAAATGATCATTGGAACTTTTCCCAAAATCAATTTATTGTTGTATTTTAAGAAATTATTTCAAAAAATTATTATGTTGAGAAAAACGAGTTTTTTTTTCCATAAATTCTAATTGTTATGGGATACCTTTTTAAATTTATAATTTCAAATAAAATTGTTTATGCTATTTTTAGGTACAATTCAAACACGAAATCGTTCACATACAACTGCACTGAAAGATCGTTTACTGGAGGATAAGAATAAGTAAATAATCAATTTTCCGATTCATTTCTTTATTTAAAATTTATCATGTAGGATATCAAAGGTCAAGTAATATCCTTATATCATTCACTGAACTTATTAGCTAAATTCATAGATCCATAATTATTATCTTATTTCATCGCAAATTTTTCTTCTCTCCTTATAGCTTTTTTCTTATTGGTCAGCATATTTTATCATACTAATAATATGGTATATGAACTGAAAAATTAATTTACAGTTCAGCAATCAACTAAAATCTGATCAATTACATTTTATTTTTATTTTGATATTCACCGAAGTCTAACATTTGGCTAATATCTTTCGCTCAACTCTTTTGTTATATTAATTTCAAATATTTGAAAATGTTAATTTTTGCACAGTTTAAGAAAGGAAAATTTTAATTACTGCACAAAAATTACCAGATCTCGGGACAACTGAAATTTCTCCTATTATGCTTAAAATTATTACCAATTTATTATAGATTCATTTATTAGAGTGCATATAACGCTTTTTTTAATATTTTGTAACAAAATTCTAATTAAAATTTCAAAGATGAAAATTGATGATTTTTTAATTTCAGAGGATTGGACACTCAAGCACCAATTACGATGGGTGAAGAGGAAGATGACCATGATCAAACTGGTCATCATATCAAGACTGGAGAAAAGGACATACATGATAAACCTAAATACAAACGACAAGAATTCATGAGGTATATCAAATTTTGAATTAAATTTTTAAATGATTAAAAAACAACAAAAAACAAAACAAAACAATCCATTTAGTGGAAAACAGTTTTTCATCGTTTTGTTGAATATTTTTAATCATAAAATACGGAAAAATCTTTCATTATTACTATTATTATTGTTATCATTATGCCTTCTCTTATCTTTTTCGTATTTTATGCTTTTTGTTCACTTTATTATTTAAAATGCATTTTAATAGTGTGCTAACAACAAAAAAAAAAATCGATGTAATCTTTGATCTCACACACATCAAAAAGAAATCAGTGTTTAATCTTTTTTTTTTTGATTCTTTTAGACCCAAATACGGTGCTGTGAATTTTGATGTAATTGATGCAGTGAATGCAAGATTAGCTGCTGCAGCATCGACAAGTGGCACTACCGATATATTCAGCAAATTACGAATTGAAACATCATATGATAATGAAGAAAAGAAGATCGGTGATGTCGAGGTTTTTTTTTTTTTTTTAAGAATATGTCATTTAATTTTTAAATAAATAGAAAGTGGAATATAATTTTGATCTGACAGATAAATAGGATTGAATGAGATGAAAATGCTTTTAAATAATTTATGCATATTGTTTAAAGGAATATGTAGAAATTATTTGAAATAATTTGATTGAAATAGAAGTGGAAAATTTGATTCTTTGCGGAAAAAAATGCATATTATTCACAGGTAACATTTCAAATACCATTTAATACCTCAAAAACAATCGGATGTCAGGAAAGATCAAATCGAGCAAACCAAAAACGATACAAAACAGTACCAGCTAATACCATGGAGAAAAGTTCAAAGAGCAATCGTTCGTTGACGGTAA